TACTTACCATGATCTCCTTGTACAGATGAGGAAACTGAAGCACAAAGTATTTTGGCCTTGATTTCCTTCCATGTAACACCTTTCAACACCTCTTGTGTGTTAGAGGCTTTGTGTGGGGCCCAGAGTTAAGTAAGACATCGATCTTATTTTCTGGGACCTATCAGCAAGCCCAATGCTGCGACCATCCATCAGAATGGGCTCAGGGTGGGATCTCAGGACTTGAAATGGGGCATATAAGAATGGGCATCCTGCCCTGGCTGACATAGCTCAATGGATTGAGCGCAGGCTGCAAACCAAAGTGTCGCAGGTTTGATTCCCAGTCAGGGCACATGCCTGGGTTGCAGGCCATGACCCCCAGCAACCACACATTGATATTTCTCTCTCTCTCTCTCTGTCTCCCTCCCTTCCCTCTCTAAAAATAAATAAAATCTTAAAAAAAAAAAAAAAGAAAAAAGAATGGGCATCCTAGCATATCCTGGACAGATGAGCAGGCCAGAAGGCCTCCGGAGCAGGAGCCCAAGCAGAGGAGCAAGACAGCATGCCGTCCTCAGACCGAGGCCCGAGCAGCGGGACAGGCAGAACCGAAGCCCTTTTATTCCGCCTGCACTGTGGCTGTAAGGGCAGGACTCCGGAGCCGAGCTGCTGGGTTCACATGCTCACTCTGCCCATCCTTAGCAGTGTGCCTGGGGCAAGTTAAGGAACTCCTTTGGGCCTCAGTATCCTCATCTGGAAAATGGGAATAATAACAGCACCCACCTCACAGAGTTGTGTGGGAACTAAATGAGTGAATACAAGATGACCTTAGAACAGGGCCCAGACCATGGGTGGCTATCTGGGTCACCTTCCACGCTCTCATCAGCCTGGGGTCACATTGGCTTTCTGAGGCTGAGGCAGGCAGAGGCTGCAGGTAGAGGCCAAGCTGAACCGGTGGTAGAGAGATGAAAACTATGGAGGGCACCAGTGAGGACCTGTCCCTGTCAGCTTCAAGGGGAGGGAGAGAGGAGATCTTGTGGGATGGAAAAGGAATTCACACCCTTGGTATAGCAGGTGGGCAAACGGGCATGGGATTCTTCCTTCTTAATTGCCAGAAGCCAAGAGGCAGGTGCCTGGTCCCTGGGCTGGTTGGAAATGAAGAATTTCTCTGGGCTGGCATTTTCTGTGGTGCCACTGTTGTCCAATTATGGGCATGAAGAGAGGTTCCCGCTGCATTTACGCAGCTTCTCAATCACACAGGACAGGAATATTGGTCTCTCTCCGGCATCCCCTCTATAAAATTCCCCAACCTCTGTCTCCAGCTTGGAAGAAAGACAGAGGTGGCTGGGGGAAGTGGCGGAAGGCAGCTGTGTTCTGTGACAGTAAATCTTTCCCAGAAGCCCTGCTTGCTTTACTAGGAAAGGAGACAGCTGAGCTCATCCGCCAGGGCTGGATCAGCCTGGAAAGAATCCTTCCTAACCCCCAGAAGACCCCTCAGAAGCTTGAGAAAGGAATGGCTCGCTGGGGCGCTTTATTTGGGGACACGGGACTGTCAGGCTGGGCAAGGGTGTCTGATGACATATGAGAGCAACTGAGAGTGGAGGTCGGCCTTTTGAAAGCAGGACAAACATGTTCGCCTGAGAGGAATCTCGTGATTGCTCCGGCTCCTCACCCCGACACTGTTCAGAGAGCGTCCCCTAGGACTCTCCTCCGTGTGCCTCGGGAACCACAATTTCCTCTCCCAGAAATCCCATTAAACCGTGAGAGTGTGCGCGCCCCTATTCCTTCCCCACCTATTTTTAATTTCTCACACTTCTTTGCACATTTCAACCCTAGTATGCATCCCCACAACATTCTCCTTGAACTCATTCTCTCTCCACGAGGTCTTTCTCTACCAGCCACTCTCTGAAGCCACCAGGTCTCTGAGGATAACAAGGGGGTCTGGACTTTGGAAAGAGAACTCCTTCCTTCGAGATCTCAGCATCCCACAACGGCTGAAGATGGAGGCATGGTCACTGGGATGAGACGCTGGCCATGGCTTGGGAGGCGGCCTGCGCGTCTGGCCCACCCACACCCAGCCTCACAGGGGTACAGCACCTGCCCCTCACCTCACAGCGTGTTTCCTCCGTGGCCTCCTGCTGGGCTTAAGTGCCAATAATATGGAAACAGGGGGTGTCTAAGGTACACCCCATGTGGCAGCTTGAGTTTCTTGGAACTGAGCTGAACTAGGAACTGATGGCCTGGATTTTCCCTCAGACTCTAAACTGAGAATTTTCTCAGTGCCCATCTTCCCCCTCTGCCCGGGCCTACCACAGTCTTTCGGGAAACTCCTGGGCACGCATGGAGCCCCAGACCTTTTTTCCGTTCCACTCGTGGTTGTCCACGCTGATGGAGCAGAACGCTGACACCGAAATACTGCACGTGGAAGGCGATTCAAAATGACGCATGATTCATCCAGAATGCATGCTTCCAGTTACCTCTACTGACTTACCTTGCTAATTATAAGCTTCCTCTACTATGACAATGAGCTTGCTCCCATTGTCAAAAAATGACCCAGGCCCTGGCTAGTGTGGCTCAGTTGGCTGGACTGTTGTCCCGTAATCAAAAGGTTGTGGGTTTGATTCTCAGTCAGGGCACATACATAGGTTGCAGGTTCAATCCTTGGTCACGGAGGATACAATCCCAGGCCCGGCACATACAAGAGGCAACTGATCGATGCTTCTTTCTCACATTGATGTTTCTTTCTCACATTGATATTTCTCTTTCCCTTCCTCTCTCCCTTCCTCTCTCTCTAAAAGCAATGAAAAAATGTCCTTGGGTAAGAATTTTTTTAAATGACCTAGGGTCAAAGGGGAACCAGTCAAGGCACCCTGTTTTGTCTGAAGTAATGCATCTATGAATAAGTGTGTTGAGTACAACTGCCTTTTCCCATGGGTGGCTATGTCTGTGGTATTAAAGAGATCTTTCAGGGCTACCACCAGCTTGGGTAGATTAAGTTTGTGCTTATGTCCTGAGCAAGGGCTGTGAAGTCAGCTGTGATGTAGTTTCTCTGGCCCGCAAAATGACAAATGGCTTTTGAGGAATTACTAAGTGACTTATGACCAGAACAATGGAGCAGCCTGAGTCAGTCTCCCCAGTGCGTACATTATGTTATTTACAATAGCGAGAAATAGGCACAACCTTGCTGTTCACCCACAGGGTATTATTAGCTGAATGAACATCCGTATGATGGAATCCTAGGCAGTCATTAGAATTATGTGCTAGAAGAAGGCTTAATTTCATGGGAAACTGTTCACAACCTACCTTTAAAGGGGAAAAGACAGACTATAGAGCAGTATGCACAGACTATAGGGGTCTTGTGAGAAAAAAAAACATTGTGTACGGTTTTTAACTAAAAGAATATGTATAAGAACATTAACCGTGCTATCTCTAGGTAATAAAATTTGGCTTGACTTTTATTTTCGTTTTTGGGGGTTTGTCTACATTTCTCAAATTGTCTCCCATGAATGTTTATTATTACAAAATCAAGGAAAAGTTGGGTTATAAAAAGACGATCCGAGGGATCAGCAGATGTGCTTCCCGCTCCTTACCCCGAGTCTGCTCTCCACGGTGTGCTGCAGGCTCAAATTGCTCGGCCCTCCCCACCACAGACGCTAGTGGAGCATGAGGCCTGGAGCGGCCGGGGTCCTGGGCAGCGTCGCCAGGGAGAATTCCTGCCTGATAGTAACAGCTTTGGAAAGGTTTTGTTCTCACCTAGCACTGGGAATTAATCATACCAAAACTGTTATTTCTTTCCTAATTGGGAATGAGCTTCTCCAAGAGATCGTAAATAAGTGGATAGGGGCTCACGGAGGGCAATTATAAACGTCGACAGCTGCTCCATGGGTTTTCAAACACGAGTGTGATTCAGCCCTGCTCCTTGGCCTTTCTACGGCGTTCTGTCCCTTGGGCGTTTGAAAATTTGCTGTCACAGTGAGAGGGGAAGGGGTTGGGAGAACCATGGTCCTTCTCCTTGCACAGAAGGACGATGAAGGACACTGGAGAGAACTAAACGCAGGGACTAAGACAATTCGGCTTTGTTTGTCCGGGTCATGGATGGTGGTCTCCATCAAGCAGCGCCAGAGTGTGGACAAAAGGAGCAGTGAATGAGCTCTGAGGAGGGAACAGGCGGGCTGCTGCCGCCGCAGAACAGAGGCTGGCCTCGGTGCACACCATTTCCGGCAAAGATCTAAAGAACCTATGTAGCTTTTAGCTGCTCTCATCACCACCTTCTTCCAAAGCAGAAGGGTCAAGGTCATCTTACTTCTCACCATAGGAAATGACACGGCAAGTGTTCTGCCTATCCTGAAGTCACCATTCCCACCTTGGCGATGCACCTAGAATGTATTGGGGAACCCTGCTGTCCCCCCAGTCCACTGTTCTGGCCCATCAACTCTGCCACTCCAGGGGTGCTGCATTACCTAGCTCTGGTGCTTGGTCAGATGATGGCTTTTGTCAGTCACCCTGTCCTTGGAAAATTCATTTCCCTCTTGTATTGGAGAATTCCCCTTGTGCTTGTCATTGAGCCAATCAGGAGACCAAGGTTTCCATTTTCTCAGAAGTAATTAACCAGCTGTTGCCACTGAGAAGCCTGTTCCTGGAATATTTCACTCATCCTTTTACAGCTGTACTGCAACCCCAGGAGACGAAGGCTGAGGCAGGGGCCCAAGTTCTCCCCAAGCAGAGAAGAAATGAGCTGCGGCTAGGCCGGGCTGTGCACCGAGTACAGGGCCCATGCCCACTCCACCTGCCACTGAAAGCATTTTGTGTCATCCACTCTTGATTGCCTGGGGACACCTGAGGGTGGCCGAGTGCAGAGTGGGAAGGAGGGGCCAGCTAAAGAGCATGTCCTCTGTAGAATAATAGAATAAGGCTCCTACCACCTAGCCCTTGATAAGACTCCTCAAAAAAAAAAGAGAGAGAGAGAGAGACAGCAGACAGACATAGATAGACAGAAGGAAGTCTACCCTACTACATCCATCCAGACCAGCTTTGCCCAGTGGCAGTATTGTAGCCAGTGAGGTTTATCCAAGGTATGATCATTGCTAATTGAAAACTATGTCCTTTCAGCTCAAAAGAGGGAAAGATGCCACTTTTCAGGCAGTTGACCCAGAAATGTAAAGAACTGTATTTCAGGGGGTGCAAACTACACAGATTTAATGGAGGACCCTAGTAGAGTGTCACTTTGGGCTCAATCTGATTTTAAATCTAAATTCTCTAGGGCGAGTAGTTTCTAGGGAAGAGATAACTGCTTATGCACTAAGTGGTGCTCCCAGAAGGAAATCCTTCGGCCCTACCATCTTCTTACAGAAGATGATGAAGGTGAAGCTTTCAGCTGATATTCTTGTTAGACTATGGAAAGCACATTAACTCCAACCTCATTCATTCACTCACATGTCTGTTTAACAAATGTCTAGAATACCTTATATGTGCATGAACCAAATGCTGTGCATGGCCTGCCACCCCCTCCAGGAGTTCGCAGCCTGGGAGGAGGGCACTCAGGGAAACTGAAATTATAACGGATTGTGTGAGAGCCCAAAGCCAAGTGAGAAGGGGCCACAGAGCACAAAGGCAAGTGAGTGACAGCTTAGGCTGCCCACAGCTTCTGGGGGCGGCTCACAGGCAAGGAGACTTGAAAGTGGGAGCTGACGATGAGAAGGAGTTTTCCAGGCAACTGAACTGTTCTGTAGATATGGGTGTGTTACACTCCACGTCTGAGTTCCAGGGAGTGACAGGGACACCACCGCCATGTCAGGAGCATGGCTGTGTTCCTCAGCAGTGATCCCCGGCGCTCAGTGGCCCAAAGCAAGCCTTGATGTGTGGTGCAGCCAGGAGGCATCTCAGACCAGAGTCCTGAGGCCAGTGGCATAGTCATCCAGGGGTGGCGCCTTCTCAGAAAAATGAGGCTCCAGCTCTATTTAAGCATGTAGGCAAAAGTGCCTAGACAGAGATGCGATAGGGCCTGCACAAGGGTGGGTCGGGACTGGCCATAGGCCCCAGTCCTTTGATTATGCCCCTCACTCCCTCCGCCTGCCCTATCTACTCCGCTCTCACCCAAGCATCTACTGAATAGCTACTCATGGTTCAAGACTCAGCTCAGAAGCTGCCCCCTCCAACAAGATTTTCCCAACATTCCAGGTTCAGACAGCCATCCCCTTTCCTACCCCATTCCCACCTTTGGCACCTGTCCCCTCCTACCTGTCTCAGAAATCACTGCATGAATTTATTTACGCACCTGTCTCCCTGAGGGCAGGAGGTGGGTATTTTTCTTCTCTGTGAGCCAGGTGCCTACCTACCTGTCTGGCAAACTCGACTCCATTGGATGCAGGCTGCACGTGAGCTCTTAGCACACCTTGGAGTCTTCTAACACAGCAGAAGTTATTTTATTGCAAAGTCCTTCCCGATAAAATCGAAGAGTGTCTAATACCCCTGTTTCACATATAAAGAAACTCAAGTGTGAAGGGAGGCAACTCCAGAATTGAGTGTGTGGCGGCGGATCCAGGAGTGTCAATCCCAACCAGGGCTGCGCTGAGACCAAAATTCCTCAGAGCCCAGGCCACCCCAAATCAGGTGAGATGCCAAACAGACCAGAATCTTGCCGAGTGGTTTCACAGTGCTGGTCTCCAGCGTGTTCTGGAAGGTTCTCCTGGGCGGCGCCTCCAGAAGGTGGGGGCCGGGAGAAGACCCCCAGGCCCAGGGCAGCATCAGGTTCCCCCTTTTCTGTCAGCAGGCATGGAAGGTCCTTTAAGAAAATGGAGTATTATTATTTGTTTGTTTTCACAGTGACTCATCTGTGGTAACTGGGTTAAAGTCCACTTAGAGAAAAGGAGAACAAAAGACCTCCTGTTAGTGCTGGAAGTTTGCCTCTTAAGATATCACTGAGAGGAACTGGGAAGAAAAAAAAAAAAAAACGCAGCAGGGCAGAGGAAGCTGCAGGCCGTCGGGAACACAGCGGCCCTTTGGAAAGGCAAACACGGCGGCTTTCATCTCCCGCGCCCTATCTGGCTGGCCTCTCCCTCCGCCGCTGCTTTATGACCCTCGGCAGTGCTGGCCGCCACACACGGGCCAGCGCCCTGTTCCCACACTCCGTGGGCACGGGGAGGCTGCCGCTGCCGGGGCAGCGTCGACGCATCTCCGTGTCCAACCAACTCGGCATGATGATGGTGACGGACCGACACACAGGACTCACCGTGGGCCGGAGGCTGTTTTGACACAGCGTCATCACTGGTTTCATAAACCCCCAGGAGGCTCACAGGCTACCCACCTATCCAGCGGCGGCAGAAGGGAGGGGCCGGGAGGCAGGAATCTGCCCCACCCTCTCTGGGAAACCCGGGGCCTCGGTGCAGGTAGAGGAACCGAGGGGCTCGCAGGCCCCACACCAAGTGGGACCACATTTCCGAGGGGCATGTCCCAGGGAGCAGACTCGGGCCATCTGACTCTAAAACCCGAGCACTCTCTTCAGATGAAGGAAGACGGAGAAAGCCCAGATTTCCCAGCTTTCTTCTCACAGCCTGCCTGCCATCCCATCAGCCCACCTGTGTTACACTGGTGCCCGTGGCCTTTCTCAGCCAGCTCTGTGGAGACGGCATTCTCAGCCTTGGCCACCAGACATGAGGCGGGCTGCACGGGGATTGCCCACCCCCCACCCCCCACCTGCGCTGTAGGAAGCTGGGAATTCTTTGCTGCCAGGCTGTGGAGGAAGGGGCACAAGGGGAAGACAAGTCCCTGAAAGTCCCAGACCCTCCCTCCTTTCAGAGACACTTCCCACCCCTCCTCTTCCTTCCCAGGGGTCTGCGGGACCCCAGAGATTAGGCCTGGCTTGTGGGTCCCAGGCCTCTGCCCTGCTGGATGGCTGGGCCTTCTGGGCCTCCCGATTCAAATAGTCAGCCCCAGTAATTCCATTTCCTGGACAAGACCTATTTTTGGTAATTTCCCACCAAGCACCAGGTATCCTTAAACAGAAACCTTAAGATGAAAGTGTTACTGTGCTAATCTAGCCCCTCTTCCTTCATGGATCTCCAGGTTCCACAGCTCGCAGGTGTGGGGAACGGCCTCCACCTGCTGTGATAGGCGCAATAGGTGAGCGGCTCCGGTGCGGGGTGGGTCCTCTGCTTTTCTGCAGGCTGCCCTGTGACGGTGAGGAGATTGCTCGCACTAATGAGCAAGGAAGGCCTCTGCCAACAATGGGTTGAGGGGAAGACTCAAAAGCCCATCCCGGGCTTCTCCCTTTGGCTGGCCTCGCGGGGATCAGGCCCCCGGTGGAATCACGGGAGATTTAGGGCTTAATTAAACCCTGGCTTTGGGCCAACATGCCGGTGGCCCCTTGAATTTCCCAGGTCCACCCAATTGGCGTAAACACTGGACTGGGAACGAGAGCCGTTTAGCTGATCCCACGAGAGCCGGTCCTCATTAGCGAAGAGCCTGCTCTCAGGGCTCGGCAGGTGCGGGCAGCCCCCACCCTGGACGCACAGAGTGACTCTAAGTTAGTGGTCCCCACCTCTGCACTCTCCGGAGCCACAGCGGGGGGCTGTGTGGACCATCTCCACATTGGGACCCTATGTAAAAGGGATCCCTTACATTTCTTGGCCTGATAACGCCCAAGCTCACCACCCAATGTGAGCAAGTCCTCTTCCTAGTGAGTTGTCCTTGATTATTCTTTGCATTTAGAGATGATTTTGCTTCTGAGTGAATGCCTGGACCTTGCACAGCCTGAAGCATAAGGGTTGGGGCTACCCCCCTACTTGAGGTCACACTAGTGAATCGCTTGTGCGAGGCCACCCATGAAGCAGATGGAACAACTGCCAGCTTTCCTGAGTTTGGCGATTTGGTTGTTGCTTACGTTCAGCGTTTGTCTGCAACCCTTGAGGACTCAGCAGAGCACGCTGCTTAGGTTTCCTTGTGGCCCGGGACTGACCATCCAAAAGATTTATTCCCTGACCCCTCACAGTTTGCTCTCCAGGGATCCCTCTGGAATTATCCTGCAGCCGCCACCTGAAGCATTGGACCCTGGAGTCGGTCTCATGGCCAAGGCTTGCCAGTAACGTGGGGGTCCTGGCAAGATGTAAGGGACAGAGGAACGATCTAGCAGCAGGAGGAGGAGAGCCAGGAACACCTCCCACCCCGACTGGCTCTGTGACCTTGGTTGTTGGCATCACTCTCATCTGGGCCACGGTTTCCGTGCTTACAAACATAACGATGATACCTGCCACCGACTTCTCCCCGAAGGAGAACGGGAGAGTGAAATAATTACTGTTTATTGAGCACTTGGAGTTCTTTGGAGAAAGGCCTTCATAAATATCAGGCGTGATTAAAGGATAACAGTTTGCTAACTCTTAGAGGAAGTACTTAATGGGATCAGGGCTGAATATCTTGATGACTGAGTTTCATTCTTTACTGGGATGTGCATGGAGCTCCCGTCACTCAGCTCTGCTGTCCACTCGTGTTATTATCCGGGTGTCGCTGTCGTGTTCATTTTAATGTAATAGCAGGTCCAACAGATGGTACCCTCCTACCACGCTTGCCCATTGCCTCTGCCCTCACAGCAGCTCCCATCCCCTCCACTCAGGTCACCAAGGCCCCCTCATTGTCAAGCCCAGTGGCTTTTTCTTATTCCTCACTCTCCCTGTCTTTTCTGGAGCATGACACTGGTCAGTACCCCCTCCTCATCTTTGGAAGTTTTATTCTGTGGTTTCCTCAACCCCAACAGGTCGAAGCTGAAATCGTCATCATCCCTACCCTGACCACCCTGTTTCTCTTCACAGCCTCGGGGGGCCCAACCTCCAGATTTCCCTCTCCATCGCCACCCCTCCATGCAGGCCCTTACTCTCCCAGCCTGCTTGGTCCTTGCCAAATCCTTCCGCTGGCTCGAGAAACCCCCAGACTCGAGGCAGGTGTGACATGGGTGTGGCCCTGAGTGCCACACAGCCCTCTCTGCACCACTTTGACCTCTGGCCATCCTGTTCCCCAAGCCCACCCAGGTGTCTCCCGCCCCCTCCCTGTTGGCCACTCCTGCTCCATACACCTCAGGACCTCCTTTCCTGCCTGTCCACCTCCTGGTCTGGTTCCCAAACCCAGTTCCCGCACTTGCTCCCAGCAAGCTCATGGAACTGACTGAAAATCTAGCAAGAGAGGTCATTTCCTAGGGCACCATGACCAACTCATCCCCTGCCTACGTCCTCCCCAACAGACAGACAGACAGACACACATATCCACTTGTGCAGCTACAGACACACACAGAAGCATAAAAACACACAGAAAGACAGATTGACACACAGATATACAGACTCATACACAGATGTGCACATACAAACTTGTACACATGTATGCACATGCAAGCTCATATGTACTACATGTGTATAGGTGTACACAAACACACAGACACTCCTATACATAGACACAGGCATACACACTTATGTAGACACATAACACATACCTCCACACACACATTCTTCTGCCCTTCCAGTGTCCTGACTGGCTGAAACCAGTTTCCCTCTGCTCCTCCGAGTAGCCTCTTCTCCGTGCTCCTGCCTTTCTCCTTTCCCATCCGTATTAGTCAGGAAAACCCAACCAGGGAAGCAGAACCAGGAGCAGACACGCAGAGTGAGGCAAAAGTAGGTTTTCAGTTGTTCATATGGAAAACAATACACTCGTACATAATAATACAAGAATACACCATGTTTCATGTACTCACAACTGCAAACCTACTTTGGCCCCACCTTGTATGTACACGTACACACATGCACACACACAAACATATACATACATATTTACATACACCGAGAGAGAGAGATTTTAAGGAATCACTCACACAGTTGTGGGGCGGGCAAGTCTGAACTTCACAAGGCGGGCTGGCAAGCTGGAGACCTGGGGAAGAGCTGGTGTTGGAACTCCAGCCCAAAGGCAGTGTGGAGACGGAGTTTCTTTCTCTCGGGGGACTCCAGTCTTTTCTCTGAGGGACTTCAACTGATTGCTCGAGGCCCACCCACACTACGGAGGGTCATCCGATCTACTCAAAGTCTACTGATTTAAATGTTAATCACATCTGAAAAGTACCTTCACAGCAACGTCCAGATGGGAATTTTATCAGATATAAGGGTGCCATGACCTAGCCAAACTGACACACATAATTAACCATGACACCATCATCTGGTAAGCTAGAGTTCATATAAATCCCCCGTGTCCTCACTCTCATCGTGATGGTTCCCTGCTCTAAAACCTAAAGTGCCTTCACCCCAGGCTCCTGACAGGCATGCGGTAAGTAACTGTTGAGTGAGTGTGCAATGCAGACAGAGCCTTTGTGATGGGCACCAGTCAGCTCAACACAGCAAATCATTTTGAGGGCCCAATGGTGAGCTGAGTTAGAAGATGAGGATACAAATATCAGCGTGTGCTTTCTGTCTTTTCCCAGCCCCCTTCCTGAGGCAGGGCCATGCTGCAAACGTCTCTAATCCCCCACAGTACCCGAGGGAATGCTGTTTACAAAGCAGGCCCTCAATTACCTGTGGATCACCCTATTTTTCGGACTATAAGACGCACCCCCCCCAACGAAATTTGGGAGGAATAATGGTTGTTAATGCTGCTGTTGAGTTCTGTTTACATTTATATTGGTGAAATATTATGTTATTTATGTCATTAACTATTTTACCACATTTTTTGCTTCAAAATTTTTTTCCTATTTTCCTCTAAAACCTAGATGCATCATATGGTCCAGAAATACAGTAATTAATTTGAGTCTTTTTGCTGGTCCCTTTATCAAATTTACCTGAAGTGTAAGATTTGGGGGCCTTATTTATGAAATTATGAATTGTAGCGCCACAATCTGTTCCCACTTTGATGTTAAGAGACGTGTTCACACTCAGAAAGAGTACATGTCCCCAGGACAGTCACAGCTGTCTCTAGGGGCAGAGTTGCTGGTGTCTTCTACCTGATTTTTTAGTCTTTTCTGTGTCTTCCAAATTGTCCTCTATGGCCATGGGTTAACTTTTGTAAAGTTAAAAAAAAGGTCATATTTTTTCTTTTCTTATCATTTACGAGTATGAGGAGATTCGAGATTCCATGCTCCGTTCTTCCCAGGGCCCCCAGTGCACCTCTTGACTTCTCTATGAAAAGATGGTGACCTGGGACATCCTTGAAAAACCTGTGAGGTCATAAAAGGTAAAGGTGACTACAAATGGCTGTTCTGTTTTAATTATGTTCTGCTAGGAACAGGCAGCCGGGTCACCTGCATCTCTGCTTGCGCCTCTCCTCCAGTCTGCAGGCTCCTCGCGCTCCCGGGCT